CTTCCTCTCTCTTTCTTTCTTTTTCTCTTTTCATCCTGCTTTCAGTTCACTTCATCACACAGTGATGCTTGTACTACACTGGGCACCAGCCAGAGGCACACAGATAAGTAGTAAAAGGTTCCCAGTAGTTTGGGGGAGGGTTATAAGAAGAAAACATATATTGGAGGTAAAACGCATGGGGTCATTCTAAAACTATAGGGCTCTGTGATGGGATGGTTTATTTAATTATATTTATCCATATTTAATTGAGGCAGAAACTCACTCTGCGGGCCAAACTGCTCTGAGCATCACTGTGTGGCCCTGAATGGCCCCAGGCTCCCTAGTTCTGAGACCGTAGGTGTGAGAACTATCCCCAGCCTTAAGAATATTCCCTAATAGACCCTAACTTGGGTAGTTATTACTCCACCTGTTTAACAGTTTCTTAGTCCTAAACTGGAGAGTTTGAACCATAGGGCCTGCCCTGTGGCTGAGGGTCTATCGGAGTGCAAGGGAGGGGGGTCCTGCTAACTCAGCTCATCATCGATGCCCTTCCACAGCCTGTGATCAGAGGCTCAATGTGATTGATCACCCTGCCTGTCAGGGCCACTGGGTGACTTACAGGCACCACCTTGGACTGTGCCAAGAAATGCCTGTCCTCACTTCAGCCAGCAATGACTCGTGATTTATGTACTTCAAGGAACACAGCCTCTACAAATTAAAGTATTCCAGAGAGCTGATCAAACAGAATTTACTATATGGAAATCCAGCCAGCTGAATCATGAACACTCCGGCTATGATTGAGTAAGGCTAAGCATGAGGTTCCTTTAAAAGGTTCCTGGTTTCACAAGTGATTGAGGTCCCTCAAGCCTCGGAGTGGAAGTCAGTAAGGTCTGATTTTAAAGAAACCTTGGTGTGAGCCAGAGTGGATTTTAATTAGACGGTAACGTCAGGCATGAAGCATCTTGGGCACCTGTCAGCAAGCCACATCCTCTCTTCGTAGCTTTCAGCCCTTTGAACCGCCTCTTTAAGCCTCAGAAAAGTCAAAGAAGCTTGGAGGTTTTGTCCCTCCAAGACACAAGTCATCTCAGGTAAGGGTGTGGCAGGAAAGTGGTTTTGCTCTCAGCCAATGAATGGGAAATGGATGGAAACTCCATGAAATGGGTGCCTCTGGGTCCGCTGAGAATGGGAAGGAACACAGCCACTTTTACTTATCACACTTAGTGGATGGTGTCACGCGCAAACGGTAAATCAATAACGCCAAGATCAAACACGCCCATCGCCTCCACAACACACGATGCCCTCGTTTATATAAATCTCAGCTCCTTGACATCCCCAATGGAAGGCATGCTCCTGCTGAGCCTCTTCTGTCTCGGGCTGTGTCAGTCTCTCAGGAAGTTTTATGGCGAGGAAGGCTGACTGAAGACAGAACAGAGCTCCTAATTAGCCTGTTAATTGAGAAGGAGCTCTAAGTAGGGGTCATCTGAAGTGTTGGGTTCCTGCCCTGCCTTCCCCTCCCAAGCTCCCTGCCCTCATTTCGCAGAAAGGTTGGAAGTGACCTCCTGGTGACCCCAGGCTGAACAGATTATGATCTGCTTAATTAGCCTCCTCTGTTTCTACACCTCCAGCTTAACACTGATTCCCCCAGGGGCCATTTCTGTGTGAAGCTGGGAGCAGTTTAGAGGGTTGAGAAATGTCGGGTGGGCTTCCAGCTCTCAAGTGGTTTCAAAGAGTCCAGAGTCCCCTACTGCTCCCTTCCTCCTCCTCTGCTCCTCTCCCTTGTCCAGCCTCGAGGCCATAGGAAGGCCCTGCTCTTGACACAGGAACCTTGGGGACCCAGAGTCCATGGCTCCTTTACTGTGGCAGAGACTTCCTTTGCCTTGCTTTACGACCCACCCACCCGCAACCTGTTCCTAAGTCTGCAGTGCTTGGTGGCTTTACTTTCGGTCACAGTGGTAGGAGCAGAACATTACTGCTGTGTTCCCTCGGCCTTGCCTTCACTGCAGGGTCCCTTCCTAGGGTTCTGGATGCCCTGTTCTGCTCTGCTCCCAAGGCACCTCCTAGTGACCCTTTAACAAGGCATACTTAAGGATGATTGGCATAGAAAGATCACTTGGGTAGGAACCTGCTTGCCTCCTCATTCTCCATCTACTGCAATGTGAAGGATGGTGTCTGCCTTGTTCATAGCCCGCTCCCCAAAACCTCTGAGCTCCCTAAGATCTCATGGGCTTCACATAGGAGCCCTTTCCCCAGACACCAGAGCTTTCCATGACCCCTGCAGGCTCTTCTCTGCCTCAGGCAGCACACTTTTGTTCCTTCCCCACCTGCCTGGGAACACTGAGAAAGCCCTGCTTGTTCCTCCTCTGCACACTATATAGCTGATCCCAGTTCAGTTCGTACTGGCTCACAGCCCTGCCCTCCCTACCATCCAGTTTTGAATCTAATGTATGTAGGATGATGTTTCTGTCCCTATCAGTTGCTTGAGGCCCATTCAAGAAGGATTCTTTGAAAGAACACACGTGGTAGAACATCCTAGATAGAGTTCAGACGCCTTTCTGTGCTTGAAGACTTCAGGTTCAGTCCGTGGTCAGTATAGGCTAGTGTAGTAAAGTCACATAGACCAAAGGGCTTCTGTAACTCCTGGAGGTGAGGCTAAGGGTCTGCTGGGAAACTCACTCGAGAGTACTCACTGACCTCTCATAGAAAGGTGCTAATACCAGGCTCCCCCTTTATGATGTCATCAACCCATTCTACCCTCACTGTAGGACTTCTGTATAGGAGTTTTGAGGGGGCATGCACACCCTCAATTCACAATAGCAATGATTTCTATTTTATTCAAAATCCCATGCAACCGAAGCTGCACTTGGAGTTCCAAGTCTGTAGTGTTGTCAATTTGAAGGCTGAAATATCTCCAAGTTATCACTCTGTCCCCCTTGGAACCAATAGGAAGGGTCACCAGTGAGACCTCCAGGAAGCTGACCAGAGGGCCAGACCTGAAGAAGACTCAGCAAACATTGCAGGCTGTTTAAGATGAACAGCTGCTCTCATGCATCTAGAAAGATGTCCTGGCCTTCCCTAGTTTTCTCCTTCATGGTTGCTATTCAGAACACGATCTTTTCAGTGAAGAAGGAAGCATGGTGGACGACTGGGATGGTTTGAATGAAAACGGCCCTGTAGGCCCATAGGGAGTGTCAGATTAGGAAGGGTGGCCTTGCTGGACTAGGCATGGCCTTGTTGGAGGAAGTGTGCCACTGTGGGTGGGCTTTGAAGTTTCAGAGGCTCAAGCCAGGCCCAGTGTCATGTTCTCTTCCTGCTGCCTACCAACCTGGATTTAGAACCCTTGGCTCCTTCTCCAGCACCATGTCTGCCTGTGCCGCCATGCTTCCCACCATGGTGATAACGAACTAAACCCTGAACTGTAAGTCAGTCACAATTAGATGTTTTCCTGTATAAGAGTTACTGTGGTCATGGTGTCTCTTCACAGCAATGGAAATCTTAGGGTTTCTACTTAAGACGACTACAGACAAGGGATGTGTGTGTTTAGACATAGTTCATTTATACATACGTATTCACAGACATATTAGTTAACAGTCTGCAATGGCAGGAAGGAACAGTGAGAGCGAGATGTGTACTATATCAAAGTCAGGAAGCTGATAGAGATGAGCGCTTGTGCTTAACCCGCCTTTCCCCCCCTCTCCAGGAGCCCTGGCACATGCCATGGTTCCAACCATGTTTAGGATGGGGCTTCCTTCCTCAGTCAAACTTTTCTGGAAACACTCTCCTCCTGGACATCCCCAAAGGCATGCGAGGATTTCAGATCCCATCAGGCGGACAGTGAAGCTTGGCCATTGTATTACATTAACAGTACATTTTTATCTATACTGCTTTAATGAGACAACTTTTTTCTTATGTTTATTGTTGTTCTAACTAACCGTTAAGAAGGGTTTTTGTTTGTTTGTTTTGTTTTAAACCTGATGTTTATTAATTTTTTTTGTTGCTGTGATACAATACCTCTTCGAAAGCAACTTAAAGGAGTAAAGGTTTGCTTTGCTCGCAATCTGAGGTTGCCTGCCATCGAGGCATGGAAGTCATGACAGTAGGGGCCGGAGGCAACAGTCACATTACAGCAGCAATGACTGTTCACCTGCCTTTCTCCTTCTGTTCAGACCTGGACACCAGCCCACAGGTTAATACTTAACCCCAATGGGCAGGCCTTCTTACCTCTGCTTACATAATCTGGAAATCTCTCCTAGGCCTGCCCAGAGGCTGGTCACCTCGGTGAGCCTAGGGTCCATCAAGTTGAAAGTTAAGATCGAACATCATCACTAATAATTCTGTTGGGGATATTCAGGCGGAGAATAACCCTTATTTTCTAGACAGTCATGGTTTGGAGGATGAGTGCTCAACTTCCCCTTATTTAAGTCCGGGAAAACAAACTAGGCAGTGTGTTCTTTCAGTAGAATTCATAACACTGAGGTTATAGAGCCTTCTGGTGCTCTGCCCTCTAGATTTGTTAATGATGGCAAGGACGTGCCAGGTTTTTCGATGGCTTCTTTCTTCATTAAGTGTACTTGTGAAGAATATTAATCAGCAAATCTACGTAGACCATTCTTCATCTTTGTCCTGTCACCGAAATGCTCTCAAAATGTAGCTAATGAGTTGGCAAGGCCTCCGCGTTCGCTTGCACAATTTGTCCTACACGGCACCAGCCCGGATAGCACCGTCTCAGAGCTGTAGATGCAAACGATTCTTCCAGTGGCCATCACTGTGGCCTGCACATCATTCTTTCTCTTGCTTTTTGTCATCCACACTTATGTGGAGCAGAGAACAGAACTTTTACACCATCTATCTTCAGTGCCTAGTCTCTGACGGATTCTTACCTCCCTTCTCAAGCTCATGTCCATGGTGGCCACTTAATGGATTACTTGCAGTCTCCCGACTGAGTCTTGCCTTCAGGGTCATCTATGTGCTGGTCACTCTCCATTTATCCCTTGTCATGGTTTGAATGCGTTTTCTCCAATGTTCTAGGTTGGAAATAATCTTCCGATCATCCTGGCTTTTAGAAATGAGGCCTTTGGACATAACTGGATGATGTCATGAAGGTGAGACTTAATGATAACACTGGTGGTTTTGTTACAAAAGAGACTGTTTGGTTTGCACACTTCTACCTCTTCCTTATCCTATGATGTCCCCTGTTTGTGCTGTGTGATATCACTAAGGCCCTCCACATATGCCTTGCTGTAACGCTGGGCCTCCAGCCTGCAGAACTGGAGCCTGCTCCTTCTTAGCCTCCCATTGTGGGTATTCTGTGAGAGCAGCAGGAATAGGTTCCAAATTCCCAGCAGCCTCGCTCCCAGCACTTGCCTTTCCCACCAGGAGGTCAGCCTCACACTGCCTTGCCTATGTGCCTCTGGCCACAGTTAGCCAAAGCAATGTTCTGGCGGGTGGCGAGGGCCCGGGCGAGAGACTGGGGTGCTCATTATTTAGCTCTGTCCTGCAGGCTGTGTCTGGTAGAGAGACACATCCTGTCTGCCAGCACCTCTGACTGTGCTGCCCACTCTCAGGCTGTAGTCCAGAAATCCTGTTCACCCCTCTCGCCTTGCCTTATGCTAGGTGACAGTGGCTTCCCATCAGTACTACCATTGGTCCTCAAAGCCTCTCTACAATGGTAAACCTTGTTTTCCAGAAACACCTCTCAGGCTCTGCTGCAGATACCATCAGCCATATTATTTTTATTTCTTTTCCCAATTTAGATCCCAGACATTGGTCTCTCCCGACTGAAACCTCATGGCCATTTCCCTCTGCGTGTCCTGTCTGTCTGTTACCCCATGTCCAAGTTGTAACTCTCATTATCTCCTTATTCCATGCTGAGCTGAAAGCCTTCTCCCCATCACTGTGAGTCTCAGTAAGCTCATTGCCAGGGTCTCCCAAGATAGAGCGTTCCTTACTGTTCCTCATCTTACGCTTTGCTAACTAACCTGCAAACTCCATGGAACAGTCAGGCAAGCCCATCTTTCTATTCCCAATGGCCCTGGTGCACAGACGACAGTGGTAATTAAGGTTGCTCGATGTGTTTTCATGGTGGCCAGGGGCATTTGGTAGTCATATTACCCAATACAGGGAATTCAGCATCACACATTGTGATGGGGGCAATTATCTTCTTTAGAATGTACCTTTAAAAACATGTTGAATTTGGACCCAGTAAGGTTTTTTTTTTGTGGGCAAAGGTATTTGACACCAAGCTTGATGACCCGAGTTTGAGCCCCAGAACCCCCATGGTAAAAGGAAAGAACAGACTCCTGAAAATTGTCCCCTGACCTCTACACCTATGGTGTGCCATGCACACATGCCCTCACACTAAATAAATAAATACTTTTTTAAAAAATAAATTGATTCAGATGGAATTACACAATATGTAGAGATTGTACCTGTGTAAGAAGACTCATTGGAAGTTATTCAATGCCAGCATGAAATTTTAGTCAATTTCGTACATGTTTGCAGTGTATCTTGATGACATTTACCTTTAACCTCACTTGCTCCTCCATCCCCCCAACACATGTTCCTTCCACCTTATGTCTGCCTCTTCTTTTTTTTAGTAACTCAGAGTCCAGTCAGTGTTCCCCACATACTCAAGAGTGCGGGGCCATCCACCAGAGCATGGACAATCTTCCAGTGGTCATGCCATCATAGAGAAATGACCACCCCCTCCTCCCAGCAGCCATCAGTGGCTAATAACTCACTGTGGCTCCTATTACTGTACCAGATCAAGTCAGTCAGCATTCTGCCTTGGATGGGGATGAGGCTCATGAGGCCTCATCCCTAGACCTGTTCTCTGAAATATGGTAATGTTTACATAGGTCTTAAAAGTCTGCATTTGGTAATAAAGAACTTCAGCATGTAGTAAATACTACTGATAATGTATAAAACTTGGCATGAGACTTTCAGTATAAATAGTTACCGGTTTCTGTCCAAATAACCTTTGAATGAAGGAAAAGATAACTGAGGTGTGCTTACTACCTCTCCGTTACCTCAATTTCTTTTCTTCTTCCTCCCTAAATACTAAATATTCATCATTTTGAAGTCAGTAGTATATTGACATTGGGAAAATTAATGTTTATTCAATATTGTTACATAATTTCAGTTTCTCTGCCAGTTTGATCATTGCAATAATGTTATGCCACAATGATGTCATTTGGTACTTATAAAATACAAGGTGTAGCCTGTGAGCTCAAATTTAACATCAAGTTCCTTCATCTTCCTTATCTCAAGTCTTCCCAGCTGATTGTTGTCTTGTGTTATCTGGGAGTGGAATGTGGATTCCCACAGTTAGGATCCTCTGCTTGGCCTTCCCATGCATTTCACATGGGAAGCAGTGCTCGGGATGCTGTATGAGTATGCAAGCTGGGGTTCAATGTAAAGAAGGCAGAATTGCCATCTGACGTTCTCCAGTGATAGGGTGCACAACTGAGGTCCAGCTGCTCACTGAGTTGTCTTGTTAATTAGCCCAGCCATAGTTAACTGGTGCGGTAAATATTCGTAAGTTTTCAGTGCCATAAACCCCATTTGACAGCCATGGTCTATGTCCCTGAATGCCTGTGACTGTTCTTACTGGCCTGTTGTGCAGCCCTCAAAGGCCCCTGTGCTACGTAAGGTATAGTGCAGTGCTCTTGGGAAGGACCCTATGGGCCTTTAGGAAGTAGGACCTAATGGGAAGTCATTAGAAACTCTATTGGACCTTAGTATTTTCTTATTCTCCTCCTCCTCCTCTTTTTGGTCATGAAGTATGTGGTCTCCTCCCCTACATGTCTGAACCATGATGCAGTACCCAGGCTTTTTGTCTCTTTTTAAGACAGTTTTCTCAGATATTTCATCACAGTACCCTTATGCTATCTACATCCCTGGTGCAGGAGAATTGTCTGTATTCTGTCAATCATGTTTTAAATAAACGCTGATTGGCCAGGCAGGAAGTATAGGTGGGTCAACCAGACAGGAAATAGAGATGGGGCAATGAGAATAGGAATATTCTGGGAAGCAGGAAGCTTCCTCGGCAGTCCAGCTCAGACCACCAAGAGGCAAGATGCAACCTGCCCAACTGAGAAAGGTACTGATCCATGTGGCTAGCATAGGTAAGAGCAATGGGTTAATATAAGCTACCAGAGTTAATAAGTAGCCTGAGCTAATGGGCCAATCAGTTTTATAACTTATGGAGATCTCTGTGTGATTTTCTTTAGGGCTTGCCGATTGTGGGGTACCAGGAAGGACAGATACCCCAAAAAGCTGGCCCCTTCATGTTACACATCCCAGTACTGAACATTTTTTCCATGCTTGGTGGGCATTTAATCCTCTAGAAAAGTGTCTATTCAGGTCTTTGTCCATTTAAAAAAAATCATATTATTAATGTTTTTACTATTGAGTCTCTTATAGATCCACTTCTTAATATTGATCCCCTTTCAGATGCATTGTTGGAAATTATTTTCGGCCATAATGTAGGAACAACTTCTGATGTTCTTTTGAATAGTTGGGGACAATGCAATATTATGTTAAATATTTCAGACTATCCAGAAAGAGATATTATGGAGTATAATGGTTTGAATGAGAATGATCCTGTAGGCTCGTGTATATGAATGCTTGGTTCTCACTTGGTGGTCTATTTAGGATTAGGAGACATGACCTTGTTAGAAGAGATAGATCTCAGGGATTTAGGGTTTCAAAAGTCCACACCAGACTCAGTCTCCCTCTTTTCCTGACTCAGGGTTTCGGAACAGGATATACGGTTCTGGCATGAACCGCTCTCTCCCCACCGTAAGAGTCCTAAACTGGCCCCCTGACACTGTATGCCAGTCCCAATTAAATGCCATCTTTTATAAGTTGCCTTGGTCATGGTGTCTCTTTGTAGCAATAGAAAACTAAATAATACATGGAAATTGGAAGTGATATAATGTTTACTCTTCAGCCAGTACATACATATGTCAAAACATGGATGCTATATTCCACCAGTGTGTAAACTCCAGTGCCAAAGAAACCTCTTGGTACAAAACTCTCCTAACACGCATAGGACCCTGGGCTTCATCCGCAGCATCACAAATCAAAGTGAATAAACCAAGCACAAGAACAAAGTTATGAGAAGATGTGGAGGACCATACTAAGGGGTGTGTGCTGTGTTCACTATAGATGTGGCAAAATGGGTCATTATGATAGTTAGAATTGTGAAAACATTGGCACACAAGTAGCCTTATGATGCCAGGTGGGAATGCAGGCTTTTACGGGCAACTTCACCTGGAGCTGGCCCCACAGGGGTTAGAAACCATTGGTTTCTGTCTGCATGATTATTTGGATAATTTCTTATATGTTAAAGTATAGAAATTAAAGGCACACCTTATTCTTTGTGCTTAGATCCTGTGTCCGGAATTCTTAATCTCTACCACGGATCTTGACAACATTCTCTATACCATATGCCAAGAAGTGCTAACAGAGGCTTTTCTGGCCCAGGAATTTCAGTCCCATTATTATGTCATACTAGAACCTATAATCACAAAAATGTCTTTTAAAGCACTGACTCTTGAATTAAAAGTCCACTGTGAAGTTAAAAGCTAAGTTCTATTTACATCAAGCAGGTATTTGTGTGAATGGCTCTTGGGTTTTGTTACTTATATTTGTTTCTAACCTGTGAGTTGTAGCCTTGAACTTGTCAATAGTGTGCACACCTAACTGTAGAATATAACTAATGTGGGCTTCGATACTTTGGAAATGCTTGGGAAACTCAGGCAAATGTATATCTAAGCGGAAAGCCTTACAGGTTGTTCAACTCTTTGTTTGAAAATATATGTACAGCTTTTTGGGTTTTTTTTTTGATCATTTTTCAATAAAATAACCTTAAACAAATGAAACGAATATACTGTTACTTTTTTTTTTACACCAACTGTAATTATAAGCTGAGGCATTACAAGATGGGTGGAACATTAGCATGTAAAGGTCAGTTGTGTTGGATCTAAAGATGGTGGCCATATGAAGATGGTGTCTACTTCTCAGACTGGCGCTGGTCAGGGTTGGATCTGCATTTGGGATTAGCTTGCTTGCAAAGCTGGTGAAGGGCATGGGAAATGGCACCGACTTCCAGGGGCCATGGCTG